AGATAGATAGATAGATAGATAGTTGGATGGATAGATAGTTGGATAGATAGTTGGATAGATAGTTGGATAGATGGATGGATGGATGGATAGATAGATAGATAGATGATAGATGGATAGATAGATAGATAGATAGATAGATAGATGATAGATGGATAGATAGATAGTTGGATAGATGGATGGATGGATGGATGGATAGATAGATAGATAGATAGTTGGATAAATGATGGATGGATGGATGGATAGATAGATAGATAGATAGATAGATAGTTGGATGGATAGATAGTTGGATAGATGGATGGATGGATGGATAGATAGATAGATAGATAGATAGATAGATAGATAGATAGATAGATAGATAGATAGATAGATAGATAGATAGATAGATAGATAGATAGATAGATAGATAGATAGTTGGATGGATAGATAGTTGGATAGATAGTTGGATAGATGGATGGATAGATAGTTGGATAGATGGATGGATGGATGGATAGATAGATAGATAGATGATAGATAGATAGATAGATAGATAGATAGATAGATAGATAGATAGATAGTTGGATGGATAGATAGTTGGATAGATGGATGGATAGATAGATAGATAGATAGATAGATAGATAGATAGATAGATAGATAGATAGATAGATAGATAGATAGGCAGTTAAAATGACAGACAGGTAGTTGCTATGGACTGGTTGTTGTTGAGGATTGTTGAGGAAGTATTTTTGGTCTTCTTCCACCTAAATGAGTTTTATTTTTGCCGCGGCTGACGCACAGCTCTGTGTGAGGGCCCGCTTCAACTCCTTTGATCTTTGTTGGCAAATCTGACATAATGAGGGGGCCGCTCGGTGCCCTTTGTTGCAATCTGCTGGTCGGATGAGAACATCTCAAATTGAACGTATCATCCAGTCTATTAGAAGGAGGAAGGGCCCGCTGGTTCACGAGCTCATGCTTCACACTGCTAAAAGCTTCCACATTAACATACTGTAGATACTAAAGTGCATTTAATATTCCAGCTTGAAGCTTTACTCTGTAACACACCACAGTAGTTTATTCAGGTTCTGAACACTTGTCATGTCCCCAGTCAGCAAACAACCACATAAAATGAGTGGATACGCCTGTAATGACCTGGAACATCTTATCCTCCTTCAGGTTCCTGTTCCCGCCACAGAAATCAAACACTGTTCTTTATCTGCCCGGAGTGTTTAGAAGCTCTCAAACCTGCAGGAGGAACCAAACTGCATGTTTGAACGGATGTTTTTAAATCTGTACTTCGAACATGAACACTGACATTCTCTGTTAAGTGACGTTTGGTGTAAAATTAATGATCGTGTTTAAATTAGAAACTAAGAAAATATCACATCCTCATCTCCACTGACATTCCTGATGTTGTTTTTAATTTCCATATCTTCATGTTTCCTTTTATTTATTTATGCAAAGGACATTTGCCACAATTCTATATGCAGTAGGTCTGAAGGACAATTTATACCTCTTCCTCGAATCTAAGCGCACCTTCCGAAAAATGTAACTACACGTTGTGGAGACACAGGCCAAAAGAACTGTGATTGGTCGGCTTGGTAGCATCCCATTTCCTGCATGACTGGTTTGGTGGTGGTTCACTGATGGTCGCACAGACCTCCACTCGCTAGCCAACGATACCCTGACTACTGTTAGGCAATCCTCAGAGCCATTGTCAGACCTTATGCTGGTGCAGTGGGTCCTGGGTTCCCCTTGGTGCAGGATAATGCTCAGCCATTGATGCCATTGACTGGCCCTGAAGGTCCCGAGACCTGAATCCAATTTAAAACCTCTAGGATGTTATATATCAATAATCCGACACAGCCAAGTAGTGTCACAGATTGTCCAGGAGCTCACTGATGCCCTGATCCAGGTCTCCACCCAGGACACCATCTGCCGTCTCATCAGGAGCATACAGGCACATGGGGGCCAAACACACTACTGAGTCACATTGTGAGTTGCCATGATGAAAGTCAAGTTGGATCAGCCTGTGATTTCAGTTTTTTAACTTTTATTTTTGGTGTGAATCTAGTCCTCAATCAATTGCTGATTTTGGTTTCCATTGACCGTTGACATCATTTTCTTCTCAACGAATCACACAATGTACAGTAAAGATTTGGCTTTTAACTATTTAGTTAATTGAGATATGATGTGTGATTTAAGTGTTCCCTTAATCAGTTTGAGCAGTGAATGTACAGAATATGTTGTTAGAGATGAGTCCCCAGAAACGCCCCTCTAGTACAGAGACTCCTTTCATTTTAGCCATGAAGGGGAAGATGAGCGAGGAGGAAGGAGGGAGAGGAGGAAGGAGGGAGAGGAGGAAGTTCACCCTTCACTAGAATCGAAATTTATAAAATTAAAAAAATTATAAAAAACGATACCTACAAATAAAATAATTCAGTAATTTAATGTTTAACAATATAAAGCTGCACAATGAGATTTAATTAGTGTAATTAAGATTTTGAATACAGGATTTATACACTGCAGTATTGCAGCTTTTACTTATATAAAAGACCTGAATACTTCTTTTTTAAAATGCACTCAGATGTTAGTGAACCATATTGAGAATGACTGACAGATCATTTGCATAAGGACATTTATTTCCACGAACCCTGTGGTGAACTAGATGTGATTTAATGGACAATCGCTCTTTTGTAACAATGAATGGTTTGAGCGTTGTGATATGAGAATTTGTACATGCAATAAATGCTTTGACAGTGGAGGACAGACTCAGCCGCTGGCACCATATTGCATTTGTTGAATGGGCAGCTTGTGTTGAGTCCCAGGGGATTTAATAGCGACATTAGCTATTATTTAAGGCCTGGAAATATGTATAGGAAACCAGCGGGATTGACCTTTATTGTGTCGAGGCCATGACTTAATAGCAAACAGTCAATATTAACGTTAGAGTGACTTGAGGTTATTGACTTCTCCTGCAGTGGTGAAGAAGAGGTTGCAATTTTCCAAATGATGCAACAGTTAATTTTAATTCTCTCATTTTAGCTTTACAATGTGACGATTTACTGATTTTATATCACAGTAAACTGAATATCTTCTGTTTTTTTAACAGTTGGTCCGACAAAAAAACAAAAGACGATGTTTAAAGATGATGTTTAAAGACCAAACGATTAATCAATTAACTGAAAAATAATCAGCGGAGTAATCGACAATGAAAATAATTGAATATTGCAGCTCTACATTAATCATTTGCTCTATAAAATGTCAGAAAATGTCCATCACAATTTTCTTTTTGTTCGACCAGCAGTGCCAAACCCAGAGGTATTCAATTTATTGTCACATGAGAGAAAGAAGAAGAGTTAATTATCAGACAGACATTTGAAATGCAGCAAATGTTTCTGCATGAAAAATGATCAAAATAGTTGATTGAAACATGCCTATCACGTTTTCCCTCCGGTGACGTCTTCATATAGTTTATTTTCTCCAACCAACAGTTCAAAACCCGACCCATTTTTAATAGTCTAATGGTTTCATGGATCGACTAATCGAGTAAATAATCTGCAGATTAATTAAATGCCTTGACTACATACCATGGGCTAATCTATTTTACAGTGTTACCGAGTTTGCTCATGTTTCTGTTTCTACAGTAATTATGTCAACAAGTAAACAAAGATTAGGCTGCCGGCTCATATAGGCTTAAATAATCACTGAGCAGATAATAAAAACTCTAACCTGCGCTCTCAGGTCTTAAATTAATGCAGCAGGGTTGTTTCAGGACAAGAGGGGCGTTTCCTCTGGAGCTGATGGAGGTTCAAGCATCGGTCTCTGATTGTCCAGCCACCACAGTCTACAAGAGACAGGACAGGAGCTGAGGAAGATGATGATATGCTCACCTGAGTCGCCTCCAGTTCTTCCCAATACATTGAACTCCAGAGATTTTCCGCCTCAGCGTGTGTCTCCAGGTGTTGGGGGGGGGGGGGTTCTACTACATATGTTTTAAAGTGGTCTGATGGTCTCAAACTTTTTCTTTCACACCCCATTCAGAAGCACAAAAAAAGTCAATGCCCCACCCCACCCCAGCAACAGTGGATTTAATTTTTTATCAATCGTTCAAAAATATTGAAATAAACAAGATTCAGGTTAGCTAAATAGCCCTACTAGCATCAGAGCATTGTTTGTTTATGACACTACATGAATCACATTAAAAAGTGACTGAAAGACTGTTTTAACGTCTCTGAGCGAGCTGTGTGAATGTCTTGAAGTGATGTCACTTGAGTCGGCTTCGGCTGAAGACTACGAGTCTGAAACTGAAAAGAATCTGTTGGTGAGGAGTTACAGTAGAAAGAAGTGAGATCCCAGACCTCTGTAGCTGCTGCTCAAATCTGCTGCAGGCTACGTTAGCCACTAGTAGCATAACACACATCAATCTTACACAAAACTGTCAGCAGGTGGAGTTGCATTCTGGGTAATGCAGGCGCCAGGTTTTATCAAAGAACAAGAGTGTGGAATAAAGCAGAGCTAAAGGTGCCACAGGTGCTCTGCAGCATGTTTTGGTGACCCAGGTTTCCCCTGCCAGGTTACAGGCTGCCCTGGAGCTGTATGCAGCCTGAAAGGTTAGCATACCTGCAGACTAAACTCGGGGCTGAAAGAAAGTTACTCTGCAAAAGAAGTACAATAAATACAGAAGTTTACAATTTCTATTTGTTATTGCAACCAACAAATGTTTGTTTGTTTTTACTTGATTGTGAAACCAAACTGCGCCCGTAGCTGTAGTTAAGAGCGTGGGGGCACGCGCACATTTAAGTGTATTTGTGTTTGTTCGCTTTGATGCCTCAGCGCGCTGCTTCACCCCGGGTCATCACGCACATGGTGCTTGTTAGACACCTGGTGAGAGGAAGGTAACGGGGAGGGAGAGCGAGAGAGAGAGAGAGAGAGAGAGAGATGGTGCCTCCTCCATGGCTGACACGCGCATTGAGTGTGTGTGTGTGTGTGTGTTAGGGGGAGGAGGGAAAACGGTTTCTAGGTTTTCCACAGTGGTCGCACGCGGTAGGTTTCCTGAAGGAAATACGAGCGGACGCACGAGGCAGCTGGAGTGGATTAAGAACAATATTCCAGGGAGACGCGCGTGCCTTTACGCATCAGAGTGGAGTAAATCCATTCAACTAGCCCACATAGGCATATTATTATTATTATTATTGTTGTTGTTGTTATTAATATTATTAATGTGAGGGGAGAAGAGGAGAGCCGTCGCGTTTCTCCTTGTGACGTCCAAACTACACCGTCATCACAGACCACCGGGGAAAGTTGGAGTAACGCGGTGAGAGGGAGCACCTGGATGTTTAACGCGTAAGAACGAGCTAAACAACAGGAAGGAAAGTGTTTATTTCGCCGTTCATGGACCGACTTCTCCGGATAAACCGTGGATACTCCGACACGCGCTGCTTCACCGGAATATGCGGTCCGTGACGGACTCTGCGAACACTTCTCCCTCTGCCCTGCTTTGAGTGCACCAAGAAGGGTCCAGGCTCCCCGTTAAAACTGTCCAGGGGTATTTGCTCGCTCCACCATGTCGGCGGCAGTGTTGCCGGTTTTCAGTGAAAGAGAGAGAGAGTGAGTGAGTGAGAGACACCGGGGGAGGGAGAGAGACGGGGCTGAACCGGACCGGACAGCGCGAGAGACCGAGCCTGTATTTCGTCTTCATGACTTGTGGGATTACTGCTGGACGCGAAATGATCCTAATTAATATCATCACTTTGGTTTTTGTGTTGGGTGAGTAACCCCTCAGTGCCTCTACCCACCCACGCGCACACCGACGCGCGCGCGCATACGCACTACATACACATTCACAGGTGAGGGCAGAGGGTCTACAGGCGGTCCATGTGGATTTCTTGCTTTCTTTCTCATTAGGCTAAATCCTTTCGGTCCTCCGGGAATCATTGAGATGTCACCCCAAACCTTTCACCTCTCCTTCAACCCCCCGTGTGCCCCCCCTTTTATCATTCCGGTAAAGGTGCACGGATTAAAACCACATTCAGATGCTCGTCTGATGTTGTTAAAGGCGTCGGAGTTTCTCCTGACAGGAAAACACTTTTCACATTTCATTTCAGCTACTTCATCCGTCCACTTGCATGAATGTGTGCGTTTATATGTTTAAGCTGTAGGCTATAAATCTATAGAATATAGCCCATCTTTATTGTAATTGTGCTGATGAAAAATGGTTTAGCAGCCCTTCAGCAGTGTGACGCGTAAAAGTTAAATAAATAAAAGCAAAATATAGTGAGATTAACAGTACAACGGTGGTTGTGTAGTAGCCTACAGGGTGGTATGTGCGGAACTGCAATATGTGCATGATAGCAAAGTGTGTAGTGTATAATGAATGTGTGTGCGTATTGTCCTATTGTCTCCTGGTTGCAGAGGCTGTACTCTCAGTGGTGTACTGAGATTGATGATCAATACCACACTGTAAAAAGACTCTATTGAAAGTACAATCATGCATTTAATATTTCACTTAAAGGTTCTGTGTAACTTTCAGAAAACCCTTGTTATTGATGACACCGGTGGCCCTTAACTGAACTGCACTCTGTAGCGAGGTGACATAAGGGAGACTGATATGAACACTGAATGCTGAAAAATAAACTATAATCTTATTTAGAATAACATTTCTATTTATTTGGACTCCATGATACTGACCAGTTTGCCACAGCCATCCGGCCAACGCCAGCTTAGCTTAGGTTACAGTTAGCATGTCGGCCCCTGCCTTGCATAAATCCTGGCAAGTAGAAAGCAGCTGTTATACACAGGGGTTAAATTGATCCTGGCTGTCTAGGGGGTCAGGCACATAGGCCTACAACAGGCTGGGGGCTGTCAGAAAGAGATTCATAAACATCGTAAAGAAAGCGCAGGGATTGGATTAACGCTGAGACGATCACGGCCCACGTCATCTTCCGAGAGATGCATCGTTGGCCAACTTAATTGACGTTATCCACCCAGGACAGTATATTGTTATGTTAGCTAGCTAGCAATTTGTCCACATTAGCCAGCAAGCCAACATTAGCCAGCTAAAACCACAATATCATGATATATTTCACATGCTTTGCAGTAATGTTAGCTTTGACTTTGGACTTTGTGTTGGACTCTGTGTTGTGGTGGGTGCCTGTTGTTTGCCGTCGTTAGCAAACTCCATTTCTAAGCTAACGTTAGCTAGTTTTGTTGGGGAGCGGAAGAGAGCGCATATAAATGTCACCTCCTTTGGATTTTGGAGTCCTGTAGAGTAATTTTCCCCTTGTACAAGTGCAAAAACCCAAATGAATCATTAGACTTACCTGAAAGTTTATAAATTATGTATTACGAAAAGTAAAAAAGGGATATCATTCACAAAGGCAACAAAACAAAGCACAATAATAATAGCAATAGTTTGTCAGAAATGAATGAACTGAAGTATGACAATATATTAGACAAATATTCTTTTAGAAGCATTGAGCTTTGGAATAATCAAATTAATAGAGACATCAAATTATCAGGAATGCTAGACTTACCTTTGTTAAGATGCGAATGCTGGAGATATTCAAATTATTTAATAGTGACATGAATTTGGATAGATAACTATTAGAATTAAGATCAAATTAATAGTTCTATATTATGCAAAAGATCCGAGAACACCCGACAAAGGAATCGAACAAGGAGACCTTTGCTGATGTCAGAGAAGGTTTGAAAAACTCCTCCTAAACTACATTTTAATACCCAAAGATACACACACACAAACACGAATGGCTAAAATTAAACTGCGTCACAAAGTTTGGCTCAATTTGGAGTTTCTCAATGGTTGTTGGACATAGTGATGGCTCATTGTCATGTTCCAGCCTTCCCCTAACCTCAGATGTATGCCTGTTAGATAAACTGTTTTGAGAGTGGTTGAACACCTGGACATTTTCGGCTTTTCCTGGAACTAGCCTCATTGCTAAAAAAGAGCTTCCAACCAACCTCCCCCAGGCCGGAGCAGAGAGTGCAAGCTGCACACTTAAATGTATGACTAGAGATTAAATGCTGACATTTAGTATACCTGAATAGTCAATTGATCAACACGTATCTATCACAGGATAATTAACTTACAGGAAAATTTACTTAAAGTATCAAAACTAAAAGTATTTATTATGCAGAAAAATGTCTCCTGTCAGATAGTGTTACCTAGGTGTTTTTGAACCAAATTAGACCAGGAAGGTGCTGATCAGGACATTTACAGTTGAAAAATGATACTCGTCACTGCTCTCTGGTGGACAAACTGTAGAATGGTGACACTTCAAAATCTTTGGCATTTCTTCATTTTCTTGCAAAGTGTCGGCTGACATATACAACCCCAATTCCAATGAAGTTGGGACATTGTGTAAAACGTAAATAAAACCAGAATACATGTATTTGCGAATCCTTTTCAACCTATAATCAATGTAATACAAGATATTTAATGTTCAAACTAACACTTTGAATTTGATGCCTACAACATGTTCCAAAAAAGCTGGGACAGGGGCAACCAAAGACTGGGAAAGTTGAGGAATACTCAAAAAACACCTGTTTGGAAGATTCCACAGGTCAACAGGTTCATTGGAAACAGGTGAGTGTCATGATTGGGTATAAAAGGAGCATCCCCGAAAGGCTCAGTCATTCACAAGCAAGGATGGGGTGAGGTTCACCACTTTGTGAACAACTGCGTGAGCAAATAGCCCAACAGTTCAAGAACAACGTTTCTCAACGTAAAATTGCAAGGAATTTAGGGATTTCATCATCTACGGTCCATAATATCATCAAAAGATTCAGAGAATCTGGAGAAATCTCTGCACGTAAGCGGCTCAGCCGAAAACCAACATCAACAAACCAACATCAACAAAACCGTGACCTTCGATCCCTCAGGCCGCACTGGATTAAAACCGACTTCAATGTGTAAAATATATTACCACATGGGCTCAGGAACACTTCAGAAAACCATTGTCAGTTAACACAGTTTGTCGCTACATCAACAAGTTCAAGTTAAAACTCTACCATGCAAAGCGAAAGCCATATATCAACAACACCCAGAAACGCCGCCGGCTTCTCTGAGATAGACTGACGCAAAGTGGAAAAGTGTGCTGTGGTCTGACGAGTCCACATTTTGGAAATTATGGACGTCGTGTCCTCTGGGCCAAAGAGGAAAAGCACCATCCGGATTGTTATCAGCGCAAAGTTCAAAAGCCAGCATCTGTGATGGTCTGGGGGTGTGTTAGTGCCCGTGGCATGGGGAACTTGCACGTCTGTGAAGGCACCATTAATGCTGAAAGGTGCATACAGGTTTTGGAGCAACATATGCTGCCATCCAAACAACGTCTTTTTCAGGGACGTCCCTGTTTATTTCAGCAAGACAATGCCAAGCCACATTCTGCACGTGTTACAACAGTGTGGCTTCGTAGACTGGCCCGCCTGCAGTCCAGACCTGTCTCCCATTGAAAGTGTGTGGCACAAAATACGACGACGGAGACCCCGGACTGTTGAGCAACTGAAGTTGTACATCAGGCAAGAATGGGAAAGAATTCCAGCAACAAAGCTTCAACAATTAGTGTCCTCAGTTCCCAAACGCTTATAGAGTGTTGTTAAAAGGAAAGGTGATGTAACACAGTGGTAAACATGCACCTGTCCCAGCTTTTATGGAACGTGTTGCAGGCATCAAAAAAGTGAGTGAATATTTGCCAAAAACAATAGTTTATCAGTTTGAACATTAAATATCTTGTCTTTGTAGTGTAATTGAATATACGTAGGTTGAAAAGAATTTGCAAATCATTGTATTCTCTTTGTATTTACGTTTTACACAACGTCCCAACTTCATTGGAATTGGGGTTGTACGCTGATACCGATAAATCTGCAATGAGCTAATATCGGCCAATTTACTGGCCTGACCGATATATCAGTCGAGCTCTAGTGTGTAAGCTGCATTTTTATGTAGCAGCTGGTGGAGGTAAAGCTAGTTTTAATCTTTCTTCTGTTGGGTGGATAAATCTATAGCAATGCAGTGTGTTTGGTAAACTAATCAAGTTTTAGATATCATCTACAAAGCAACTGCTAAACATCGAATGGAGTAAAAAGTATAGTAGTTCTCTTGAGGTGTAGTGGAGTGAAAGTAAATAGTATGATAGTTCCTCAAACGTCTACTTGAGTAAATGCGCTCATATTCCACCGCAGTGCTGGTTTCTGGTGCTGTCCGTGGTCCTGAAACACTTCATCTACACAGGGAGCGCCTGATTTGTTCCTCAGGCTCTCTAGAGGGCTGTTTCACAAAGGGAGCTCAGAACAGCAGCTCTTATTGTGAAAAGCCTGTATGGGATGAGCCTAACAAACTGAACCAGGATCAGTCTGAGCCAAATCTGGTTTATTTCAGAACATTGAAACACAAACCTGAAACATCGAGCATGGATCACATCACCTCACAGAGAACAAACCGGTCACAAAGCAAAACATATTAAACATAAAAGGAGATGAAAATGTTACCGCAAAAACGAATAAAGTCACTACAATAAACAGAGCACAATAAAACTTTGAGCAATTCAATTTTATTCAATCTAGCTTTATTGGCATGATTGTAAAACAATAATATTGCCAAAGCTACAAATAAATTACAATGTAGATGAAGAAGATGTAACATATTGAACAATTCTGACCTATCGAATACGACCCCAGACAGGATCATACCATTTCTTTAGGGACTAGAAGTTCTTTCTCAGTTGGATCATGTTATTTATGTTGTGCAAGTGACAGAGCAGCCTCCATATGGTGGACATATTGTTAAAATACACATTCACTGCCTGCCACTTTCTGCATACTGATGATGATTACTGTGCTGTTTGCATGTTTAATAAATAGATTTCTGGCACTTCACTACTTTGATTTAGTGCTAAAGAGAGAAGATAAAAAAATATTTCTTGGAGTCAAAGCTTTAAACTGAATATCTTTGTTTTTTGCACTGCTGGTCAGAAAGAAACATTTAATCACGTCATCTTGAGCTCAAAGAAAATCGATGGACAATATCAGAAAATGGTCAAAAGATGCCCACCACAATGTCCCTACGCCCAAGGTGACGTCTTCAGATGTCTTGTTTTGTTCGACCAACAGTCCAAAACTCACATATGTTCAGTTTACTACCATGTAAGAGGAAAAGAAACTGAAACAATCGCTCCATTGTCCAAATTGTCGCTGATTCAGTTTCTGTGGACTAATTTATTTATCGAGTAATCGCTGCGGCTCTACTTATTTTATTTATCTGACTAAAAGTATTTGGTAGTCGATGAAGTAATGGCTTCGTCAGAGGGAGCTGTGGTCCTCTCTCACCTCGTCACAGAGTTGTCGGTACAGCTGCAGGTAAACATTGATGTGAGACTCAGCAAAGTATCCTTATCTTGTCTTCTGACGCTCAGTTAATTGGACTCCTCCTGTTCTCACTACAGTAATGGGAGCTGTTGAACCAGCTGGCAGAGGCCACCGTCGTACACTGAGACTGCAGCTGATTCACGGCCGTCTGAAATGACATTTGTTTTCGTTGGTCATCAGTTTTCAGTCACGGAACTCAGTGTGCATATATATATAATATTACTCATTATAATGACTGAAGGCAAAAACTAAGGAGGAGAAGACTAAATAAAATAAATCAGCTGCCTAAGTTAAGCTTTCAATCTACTTGATCAGTGCAGGCAGCCAAGTTCCTCTCAGATTGTCTCTCCTGTAAACAGGTCAGTGAGTTTCAGTGAACCTCACCATGTACATACAAATTCTGTTACCAATGCAAAGCAAACAAATCAGTATGTCAACTTAATACAATCTCCCCCGTACTTGGTTTAACCCGTGACATCATCGATGATGTCAGGAAGAGCATAAGAGCAGGTACCCGCTAAACTCCAGGAAAGCATGCTGGTGAGTAAATAACATTTCCCTCAAGAAAGCAAAAGATTAAATCAATGAAAAAGAACTGAACTTCAAAAAGACACAAACACAAATAAACCCAGGACAGTAAACATTTGCTAAGCCACAGATTAAAGACGGAGCCGTGGCTAAACACATAAGAAGCGTGGTGATGCATATGTGAGGTGTAAATGTACTGCGAAGGAAGTTCAGCTTAAGCCTTGTTGACATTTATGGGAAATATAACAGGTTGAGGTAAACCCAAGTTACCCTTTAAAGTTTGGCTGATAAATGACTGACTGCTTTGCATATGGTGACATTGTGTTGTGTTGATACCAGTTTGAATACAGAATATGCATCTGACACCATATTCATTTCTTCTGGACTGTGCTGGTGCAGCCTCATTGTTGCCTTCTTTAAGTAGAGCTCTGATATGTGTCCATTAAATTGGTTTTGGCTGGGAGCTAAAAGCAGTGTTGCTTTCTCTTGAGACAGACACTTAGAAGCCAAATGAAAGAAAGGGCTGCTGTTCAGGAAGTCCTGGAGTTCAACAGTTTGTGTGGATGTGAAGGAGCTCCACACAAAATGGAGTATTTTATGATGAATTTGGTGCAACAGTTCTGATCTGCAAAACCCCAAACTGACTTGCTGTATTATTCCCTTTTAAATGCTTTCCTACAGAGTCCAGAGGTCGAAAAATATCACTAGCGATCCTCCTAAATTGTTTCCAACGAAGAGTTTCCTCTTAAAGGTCCAGTGTGTAGGATTTGGGAAGATATAGTATTCATAAGATTGTTTTCATTAGTTTACAATCTCCTGAAAATATGTTGTGTTTTTGTTACCTTACAATGAGCCTCTTATATCTACGAAGAACGAGTCCTCTTCCACAGAGTCCGCCATTTTGCACGCCATGTTTCAACAGTAGCCCAAAATGGACAAACCAAACACTGGCACTAGAGAGTTTCACAGCCCCTGTAGGTTCTCCTTTACACTTGTGAGGTGAGGGGTATTCTGTTGGTTGCAATCTGAAACCTCACCGCTAGACAGCGCTAAATCCTCCACACCTCTTCTTTAAGAGCATTTCACAAAGAGACACTTTTACTAAATAATTGAATTAAATAGATTTCAGACAGCTGAGGCTGAGATCATCAGCTCAGAGTTGTTCTAGCTGTCATCTCAGGCTTTACTGGATCCTTTCCACCTGTAGCCGACTGAATCCTTATCAAATGGCTGCCATCAAACTCTGGATGTAGAAGTTTGTTGTGATTGTATTTACACTGATGTGATGAGGCTCACGACTGTGAGCAGCTCTCAGTTACTCCTCACTCATACTGACCAGATACTTTTACAGCTTAGAAAAAAATTACTCTCCGACCCGAGGAGTCTTAAAGTCAGGAGAAAGAAGTTCACTCAGCCAGTTAGCAGCTACTATCATCCTCGGGATGCTTTGTGAGCATGACCCAGAACACTTACTCACATGTTCAGGCCTCTTCAATATAAACGCCTCTTATCAGTTTCAGTGTTTATTACTGAACTTACAGAGCACTGGAGCAGAGCTGCAGAAGACTTCACCACCTGCAGTGGTGGAAAAAAGGAACTTGCTGCCAAAAGCTTGTGTGTATTGAGCATCTGTTACAGTAAATTGTGGGTCTATGTCACGTGTTTTCCAGTATTCCAGTATCACTTTACCTGTGTTTTAGATGATTGACCTGACAGGTGATGTATATACCTGGTGATGTGAGTATGTTGAAAGGGCCTACTTTGCACTGGGGACATTTCAAAATCCTATTTTTGTCCCACTCACTTTTATTAAAGTCTTTTTCAACATCGTCCTCTGACTGCTCAGCTCCTGATATGAGAAATAGACAAAAATGTTGATCTGCTTCTCTTCTGCTTTTACTGCACACTCAAAGCACTAAGGAGCAGCGAGCGCTTTGCAGCCCTTTTGTTGCCCTTCTCAGGCTAACATACCTTATTGGTGAAGGTTGTTGGGCTCCAAGATGCCTGAAAGCAAGATCTGCAGACGCTATTCAAGGCTGCACAAGCTGCTCAAAACATTTAAGATATAGTATGTTTCCAGAGTTACTTAGCATTTCTGTTTCTTTAACCACAACAATAACCAGATTTTAATATAATTATAAATAAATAATATGGTTAAAGAAGTGAATCATGTCAGACCCCTCACACAGACACAGAAGGAGCCTTATTAGCGGTGTTAGCTCTCATTCCTTTTTTTCTTTCCCCCTCCAGATGTGTGTGTGTGTGATTCAGAGCTGGGCCCCCCCGGGTGGAGGGAACCTCTGGACTGCGTCCGAGCGTCAGAACTGTGCAACCAGAACAGCCAGTGCAGCTCACGTTACCGGATCATGCGCCAGTGCCTCTCTGGTGGGGACAAGGAGCGCAGCGCCATGCTGGCCTCCAAGGAGTGCCAGGGGGCGCTGGAGGTGCTGCAGGACTCGCCGCTGTACGACTGCCGCTGCAAGAGAGGCATGAAGAAAGAGCTGCAGTGTCTGCAGAACTACTGGAGCATCCACATGGGTCTGACTGAGGGTAAGCCGCCAACACAGTGCGTGTCGAGAGTTAATTAAGCCTCCTGCTGCCTGTTGATTTCTCCTCAGTGTTTCGAGCTGGCAGATGAAACAGCACAACATCTTGGTGTTTTTCCACGTATGCAGAGGTCGAAGAGGGCTCTGCATCGTTCATTGCGGGGTTCTGTTTGGATTTTGCCTACATATCAGAAGTAGAGGAAGATATTGCTGTTGTTTTTACTGTTGTTTAAAGTTATCTCCAGCGATTTCTTCCCCCTCAGTGTGTGTTTCCAGGTGTGGGAGAGTTCAACTGCATATGTTTTAGAGTAGTATGCTGCCTTTAGTGTCTCAGAGGGAGCTGTGTGGAGTCAGAAAGAAGTTCGCTCGCGGACCTCTGTAGCTGCTGCTGATCTACATTAGCTGCCACTAGCAAAACACACCCCAATTTCACACCCCTCTCAGCAGGTCAAGTTGCATTGTGGGTGTTTTTGAGACAGAAGAATGTGTGGAATAAAAAAGAGGATATCTGCAGCATCGATTTACATCCTTTTTAAAAAAAATTTAAGTTGAGTCCGACAGCGTTTCTGGAGTGAAACAGTAACCTGTTCTGCTGCTGCGGTCGTTGGTTGGTTGATGTGCTGTGGGAATTTTAATAGAACAAACAAGCAACATCACACGAAACATTCTCTCACTGCAGCACTGCCCTGTTTTGAGTCACCCCAGACACCTGGCTAACGTCTTTGGTTGGTACAGGTCCCACTGCTGGTCCTGCACTGTGTTCTGTGTGAGTCAGCACACACACACACACACACACACACACGGTCTGTTGGCTGGCCTAGTTTGGGTCTCAGCAGTGGCAGAGCTCATTAAGAGCCTCTGTCTTTGTTCTCCATTCCACTAAGGATGTTTCTGTACTGCCAGCAATGCTCGCAAAGCCCCTGCATCACACACACACACACACACACACACACACACACACACTTGGCGGCCACACACAGGACATACATTTAAGCAAGGCAAAGCTGCAATGTACGGAAACGCAAAACACATTGTCTCAGACCTTTGCAACACTCAAGGACATATAGCGTGGTGTGTTCAGGTGTCTGACTTCCGTGCTGCTTTTGTGGTGCGTTCGGGTGTCTCACTACTGTGGTGTGTTTGTGAGGTATTTATAGGAGAGAAGAACATCTTGTTATAAAACATCTCTATTGGAGCCCGTCTTAAATGTTTTGGCTCGTGAACGGTACACAACAGGCTGCTGTGTGAAGACCTCCTGCTGTGAGCTCTTTTTGTTTGTGTTTTACTTGGAAGAAGATTGTGTTGTAACACCAGTGGAAACATGGGATGAGAGTTTGTTGTGTATGCTCCAACACAACAAAGTCCTCTCTCCAGCTCTGACTCACGTTTCCACCGGCGTCTTCCTGCAACAACTCTCCTCTCACGAGATGTCAGGGTGAGGATTGTCCTTGAGCGGGACTTCAGCTTCCTGTTAAAAACAAAGTGGGTCACCGGGAGTCCCTCGTAGGGATCCTTTCCATGATGTTGTCAGACACCTGGTGTAACAGTCTGAGCCTGCTGAGGCACTTTTTGTGGACGCCATTTTGACGGAGGAGTACGATGCAGCCACAAAGCCGTTTCAACTGCCTGCTGAAGCATCTACTGCACGGATTTAAAACTTTCTGTACCTACTAGTCAGAGAGCGTTGGCGGCCTATGACCCTGTTGCTGGTTCAGCGCCTTAGTTTGACCACTTCTGATCGATCTTCTGAACTGTACTGACCGTTTTGGAGATGTTCTGACCCAGTTTGGTCATTGTCAAAGTCGCTCAAATCCTTATTCTAACTAAGTTCTTCTAACACATCAGATATGAAGACGCGATGTTCACCTGCTGCCTGATATATTATATAGATACATTTTCTGCCAGACTGACAAAAAACCTGCTCGCTTTTACCGTCATTTTTTGACGCTTGCTCTCTTATTTGCTACTCGCTACGAACACACACTGCACTCCTTAAAATACCTGGCGTTAACTCCGCTGCACAATCCACATTGACATGAGTTAGTAGCAGCGGTCATAATTCAGCAGCGGTGATGCACAGAATATAGAGGAACCGTGTCTCAATAATGTGGACGTCAACATGACCGTATCAGCTAACATTTAGATAATGGATTCATAATGGATGAATAGACCCAGCTTTAATAACTGAGCTTATTTACTGTACAAACCTTGTCAGTGAACTATGAGGGCAAAAAAACCCAACATCCAAAAACAAAATAATTTGTAATCGAGGTAAAATGTTTGTGATTTTGATTTCAGGTGAAATCGTCCAGCAACATAGTAATAAAAAAGAGACAAAAAAACTACAGTTGAAAATCGATGGGTATGGGCCTTGATCGACTGGCACATACAGTAGTTACAGGCGCAGATGGTTTTTTTGGATACTAGCCACAAGTCAGATCTTTTTCTGGGTTAATGAAATAAAAACCACTAAAATCTCTCTCTGATGTAGATACTGTCTAGTTGAAATTATTATGTTACTTCGACTGCTGCCTACCTGCCTAATGGTAAAGTTACCCCCCTGACATGCTGAGGCATATACTAAAGGACCTTTTACCAAACAGTTGCACCTTACTGGAAGAACGCTGTTCAGTAGAGTTCATCTCTCTGGCAAGGAGCTCTGAGCTGGAGGCTCGTGGTGGAACAACACCTCTGTAACACCTTGCATGCTTTACATTCATTTGTCACACATCTCTATATGTACAGTATATCCATATATTATGGTAGGCTATTTAGGGAATAATTCCTGAGAATATATTATGGAAACCTCAGAAAATGGAGTGAAACCATCAGACACTAAAAGCAAAGCACCAGTTATTAAGAGAAGAGAGGATCACGGCTCATAAAGGTTTCTCACTGGGCGGCTGCACCTTCCTCCAAACCCTTAAACAGGATGATAATCAGTCAAATCTCAAGTGTTGTTTCTGATGGATGGGTGCAGGGTGTCACTTTTTCTGAGCACCTCAGTGGGCAGACTTTGAAGGGCACCGGTAGATGGGTTTATGTTGGATACAGCCTTGAGTCATCAGTCTTAACACATCAAACAAAGGATTCCAACACTGCAGCAATCAGTGTGCAGATATGTGCTCTCCAACACCAGAAGTTTGATCACAAAGAAGCTTAAAAAATGTCTCTGTTTCTCTTTATTTCTCAGAGGAAGGTTCATCTGCTTTATGGTTAATTGCATTGCAGATGATTTTATATAAGTCCGATAGAAACTGTGCTCTTGCACTTTTAATTTTCAGCTATACTTTTTCTTTCATGTGACAATGAACAAAATAGTTTTTCCTGCACATCTTTTCTTCTGTCTTTCGTTCATGCATGAATATTTAACAAGGCAGAAGAGGATTTGTTGGCTTTTCAGCTTAAAACTTATAATAGAATCCAGAGAGGAAGAACAGGTGAGAGTGAAATTATTCACAAGTTTCTCTTCGTCCAAGGTTAGGGATCTGTTCGAGCAGAGGAGGCGGAAACAGCAGTTTGGATTTTAGGATTAAATAAATAAAAAAGAAGGACAAAGTTATGGTCAGTATTACAAAAGCAAACTAACAAGACTTAAATATAGGAACGATTTATTTAAACAGGTTACAACCAAGTGCTTTATACAAATGAACAACACAAAACATGTGCAGCGTATTGAATACAACAGACAATGCTTTGTTGAGCTCCTTTATACAGGTCAGAGCCGGGGACCAAAGTAGGGTCCCCTCTGGCGGCTGAAATGTAATCTGGAGCTTTAAATGTAATAATTAAAATCCTAAAACAGATGGTTAAAAGCAGCTGTATGTTGTCCCTGCTGGGGCCTGGGACAAGTGATACATGGTCTTGTCCAGTCTGGAGGTAAAAAATGAATCTAACAATTTTTAAGATGATTCAAAAGGAGTGGATGAACTGGCTGATTATTGTAGGTAGGTAATTGTAGGTTGTACAGTAGGTTTTCTGGCCCAGTGGTTAGAAAATCCGTCTTTTCTGAATACAAGAAAATTTGTGGCCATCCAATCTGCTGACAGTAGTTGTTATGGAGATCATCAGGGAAACTAGGGCTGAACAATTTGGGGGAAAAAATCGAATTGCGATTTACGATTCAATTTGCGATATTTAAAAAGAGTTATATACAATATTTACTTTTTTACAGAAGCCACGTCAAGCAGCACAGAGCAGCTGAACCGGGCAGGAAGTCAGACACAGAACAGCATAGAGAATATGGTCAATTTTCAAAATAAAACGCCCTTTGCAGACTCTCGATCGTACATCAACAATAAACACAGTTAAAACAGACAACATTTTTTTTTTAACTATGTATCTACTTAACCCATAGTAGAGGCCCAAAAATCAAGGATAGCTGAAAAAATTAACACAATCTGAGCAAGTCAGCAAAATCAGGCAGGCAAAAAGCTCTAATTCTGAAATGCTCCGTGTGGTTATGTAACGTTAGCCTGCAGAGAGCGGAGCGGGCTCGCAGAGAGCTGATATCTGTAGTTGAAGCACACAAAATGATAAACAAACAACAAACCTCAACATAGCCACCGCCTGTGTCGGTTCAGCTGACACGATTATCCCATGTTATCCTCCAGTTTCGTTTGTTGTTGTAAAATGCGTACACACTCCGCTCTGATTGGTGAGTAGGACCGTAACAGGAAAAGCATGGCACTTGTGATTGGCGAGCAGGTCTGTCGCACAGACAAATAAACAGGTCAGATGTACAATTAACCTACATTTTAATCGCTGTCTTCACGATTAGCTAATTGCGTTCTTTCAAATCGCAATTTCAATTTGAAAATGATTAATTGTTCTGCCCTTTGTGAAACAAATACATGCAACACCTTGTATTCATACTGTATAATGTGACAGGGGAAGCTGGTGCTGTTTAAAGAAATTGAACCCTGGGGCTCTCATGCTATCAGGGCTAAAGAAGAGGCAGTGTCACCAATCTAAACAACATAAAAAAATGACTTTACAAATACG